GGCATTCACCCAGGTCACTAGAGTCCTTACTGCTCTATCATCTATAATGTCCCTGGTCACCTGGAAAAGTGGACTCAGCTTCTCCACATGCCTTATCCCTCTGACATGCTGATATGCTGGAATAATCTGGCTCCAGGAGTATTAATATACTTTTATGAGACTGTGTACAAAATGCTATTTTGTAAAAACTATGCCTTTAAATAGACAATGATGGGTAATAATTGTTTTATAATAAATTGTGTATTTAATGCTTAATTGTGATTGATTTTGAGATTATATATAAAATGTATATTTATAAACCCGTCCTGTGAATTTCTACTCTAAGATGTGTGGTATATCACTAATCAAGACATGAATTTCTATTTATGTAATGTAATTGTAGCAATATTCCTAAATGCTACCTAAATAATTGCTCTGTCCATTTGCCATCATGAATACTTTTATCTTTTGGAGGATTAAGTGATAGTCATCAGAATATATTAACTAGATTTGAACTTTAAAATATAAATTCTTAGTTTGAAATTCTTCCTGTTGATGCAATTAAAATTACTTTATAATTCCTTATTGCTCTGCTCTGGTGCATCTTTGTGTTTTTTTTTGTTGTTGTTTTTCCTTTGATTTAAATCATTTCATGGTAAAATCTTCCTCAATTCTCCCAGAATCTATAGACCTTCAAGAAGATAACAAGCTGTCTGATGAAGAGGAAAATCATGTTGTTGTATTCAGGTCAAAAATCCCTGCAGAGAAGCAATGTGCAAAATCAAATTGTGTTTATAGCTTCAATTTAACATCTTAGGACATAGTAAATGGAGGTCTGTAATCTCATTTCAAGTATATCAGTTGGCTAATTGCATGTAGCTACCTCTATGAGTATCAGTTAGAAGTCTTATTGGTAGCTAAATCATCTTAAGAATAGATGTTAGTGGGCTGGGAAGGTGGCTCAGTGGTAGAGCACTTGCCTTGCATGCTCGAGGCCCTGGGTTCGATTCCTCAGCACCACATAAGAAAAAAAAAAGCCGGAAGTGGTGCTGTGGCTCATGGTAGAGTGCTAGCCTTGAGCTGAAGAGCTGAGGGACAGCACCCAGGCCCAGAGTTCAGGCCCCACGACCGGACCAAAAAAAAAATTAAAAAAAAAAAAAGAATAGATGTTAGTTCAGAATCTAGTGAATCATCAAAGAGGTATGGGAAATGTAAAATGTGTTAAAATGTTTCTATTGGGACCAGGTTGTGATTATAGAGTGGTGGGTTATAAAATAAAATAGAAAAAAAGAAACATGTACTATTACAGTCTACATTATAGGCCCCAACTCTCACCAAAAATACCTCAAACATCTTGTCCTTGTTTATAATTACAGTAGTTGTCTCTGAAGGTATATATTTATTGCCAGTCCTGGGGCTTTGACTTTGGGCCTGGGCACTGTCCCTGAGCTGCTTTTTTGCTCAAGGCTAGCACTCTACCACTTGAGCCACAGCTCCACCTCTGGCTTTTTGTGTTTATATGGTACTGAGGAATTGAACCCAGGGCTTCATGCATGCAAAGCAAGCACTCTACCACTAAGCCACATTCCCAGACCTAAAGGTATTTATTTGTAGTATCTTCAGAGGTAGCCAAGTTATCAGGCCAAATCCTGGCTCCTGTTGCTCTTGGAGACTTTTTAGGGCTGAGGGCAAGTACAAGGTCTAAGGGACAAGTTTGAACAGGAGGACTGGTGGGGGCGGGGGAAGCTGAGTAATAAGAAAGTCACCTGAATCCAGAAACTTCATTTAATAATTATTTATTGAGGACTTATGTACCAATCCCTGTACTAGACACTACACATAAAGAATGCTAGGAAAGACAACTCTTGATTTCTGCTTCAAAGGGGTTTGAAGCCTAGCTGGGGCAGCAGACATATACATCACAGCGGTATCTTGTGCTAAGATGTAATGGTAAGGAAAGACTAATGTTCAGTGCAAACTAGGGGTCCTCTCTTAGCCAGAGGTAAAGAAGAAAGCAGAAGATGACACTGAAGTTGAGTCCTGAGGAAGAATGTTATGGATGATGGGGGCCACTAGAAGTAATTAGGTCACAAGAGTGACCATTCCTTTCTCATCTCCATCATGTGAAGACACAGAAGAAAGTCTGCCAGCTTTAACAGGAAGAGGACCCTTTCCAGAGCTCAACCATGCTGGCACCCTAGTATTAGACTTCCTAGCCTCTACAACTATCAGCACAAACCAGTGTCTGGGGAAGGATGTCACTCATTCATCTTTTAACTCAGCATACTCTCACCAAGCTCCTACTCTGTTGCTACGAATGTCTTCTGCTGTGCCAGGTACTGGGGACACAAAACTAAAACAATTCCTAGTCTTCATTCTCTAGAACTCTGTGAGGAGATTCAGTACATCATGGACTTGGACCACAGTATTGTCCACTCACCACACTGTGAGCGAAGCCCTTCAGGAACCCAGTCTATGGTAGACCAGGCAAACACTATTCTATGTAGTTTGTAATGCTTGAGCTTTCATTTCTGTTAACAGTTCTATTTCTGACTAAAAATTTTATCTGACACCTGTCAGATCTATTACTCTGGCTCCAAGAAGATTGGGGAATGTTCAATAATTTTGCTTTTCATGGAGACTTGGAAATGAAGTATCATAACTGAGCAATTTTGATTTTTGGACCCGAGGCCCCAACAACTTACCTAACCTTACTTTGCACATTCTCTTCATTTGCATCCATGGATGTATGCTTTTATTATGTAATCTGAGAACTCTCTTGTTCTAACCAGAGGAGATATCTTTGATTGGAGAAAGATTAAAGGAGAGGGCTTGCTCTTTCCTTGGACATTTGTATGGATTTTAAGCCCCAGTTCTTAAAGGACGGGACGCTAGACTTAGAAGGAACTGTTTATGAGAGAAGGCATAATACACTGGCTATAAGCAACCTGGTTTGAGCTTGATTGATAAAGAGCACCCATCAATGAGTCAGGGAGAAAGATATCTTTCTGAATTCTGAATAGAACTCAACCCCATTGGCACCCTAAGGATTGATTAGAAGTGTAGACAAAGCGACTCAGTAACTGGCCATCTGCAGTGGTCAGTAGACTTAGACTCACTGAGCTCTTGTAGGCAGCAGGTAGCATAAATGGTTGGTGGTTGACATGTCTAGGACATGACATGTACTGGGAGACATGTCTCCTAGTACAAGTGAGGCACTACAATTGGGACCTTCTGGCACTACAAATGACTGAGGACTTTTTGAGGCCTTGTTATATAAACAGTAGCTGAATCAGTAAAAATCAACACTGAAAGCAAATGTGGCCACAATTTGCCAGCAAATCTTAGAAGTCCTACTGAAACAAGGAGCAGAACAAGATGTAGGAAAAACCGAAGGGAAAATATTTACCATGTCAAGCTCCAGACCATCTTGAAACAGTGACCTGAATCTCTTTGTCTCCAAGACTTACTAAACAACAGTTTCTTCATCTGAAAACTATACTGTTTACTTCACAAAAGAAACAAAAATTATACGACGACTTGTACAATTCACACACACACACACACACACATTGAGTACTCAGTAAAGACTTCCACAATTTTAAAAAATAACATTACTATTGGGAGTATGAGTACCAAAATTTTTTTCCCCATCAGAAGAGAAGCAGCAGCATTACCTAGAGCTTTTTTTTTTTTTAATCAAAAACTTCTTTTTACAATCACTTGGAGCCAAGGACTTGGATTATTATCATTTTCATGTGACAGGGAGCATTGCTGGCTTATTTATCTGCCCATGACCACACCAGGCCTAAAATAAAATAGCAATGTTAACACTCTGATTTAGGGCTTTGGGAAGAGTTCTGATTTCAACTAATAGTGACAAATCCTTACAAATGGTAATAGCAGCTGTACCTTACAGTTCTCTGAAGGGTTCTAAAAAGATACCCAAGGATCCTCTGGCCAGACCAGTTAGGATTAATGATGAGTTCAGGGTTTGAACCCTGCCTCTGCCTCTTGGTGGCTGTGTGAACATGACCTGGTGTTTAACCTTGGCAGTTTTTGTTTGTAAAACGAAGCTAACACCTTTGTAAGGTTGTTCTTAGGAGTTCGATACTTAGAACAGAGACTATTCACTTTGAACCACCCAGTTATCACAACTTAAAATCCTGCCAATAAGATAAAATAAAGTAAAATAAAATAAAATTAGCTAGTTGCTTGTAGTTCATGCCTGTCATTGCAGCCATTCGAGAGGCAAAGATTGGGAAGATTGAAGTGTTATGTCAGCCTACGGGGGAAATGCAAGAACCCCCAACACAACCGAAAAAGCTGGGCTTAGCGATCTGCACTCAGCTACAGCCAAAGGAGTAAATAGGGGATCACGATCCATGCTGGCCTAGAAATAAATGAGATTCTATTTCAAAAATAATCCAAGCAAAAAGAGCCAGGGATATGGCTCAGGTGGTAGAGAGCCAATCTAGGAAGCACCAAACTAGAGTCTGAATCCAGACTCTCGTTCTTCCAAAAAAGAAAATGGAATAAAAATGTCCTGCCAAATGCACTAGGACAAACACTTGGACGTGTTTATTGAATCAGTCAACCAGAATCTGGGCATCAGACTTTTGAAAGTACTCTCCCACGTCACTTCCAATTTGCAGCCTTGGTTTTCGCATGACTGAAAAGTAGTGTCTCTTGAAAGTAGATTCTCTTTTGGGATCCTGCCCGACGGGAAAAAGTTGGTCTTAAAAGGAGCGTATTTAACTAATTAATTTACTTGGGACTCTCGAAAACTTGGGACTTGCGGCGACCAATGGGCGAAGGGAGCCCGGGGGAGGACGGAGCGTGCACTCAGCCTCCTGGGAATTGTAGTTTCTCCGCGGCGTCTCTCGAGCGCTCGGAGGCCAGCCGCAAACTACAAAGCCCATCAGGCAGCGCGGCTCCGCCCGCCTTTCGTCTGCGCGCCTCGAGAGCTCGCCGCACCTCCTCCTCTTGGGGGCGGCGGCAGCCGAGGCGGGAGAGGCGCGATGGCCGACCGTGGCGTCCCCGCTGAAGTGTCCGGCCCTCGGGGTTCTCCGCAGCAGGAAGCCCGGCACCCGCGTGCAGCCGGGCCGGGCAGCGGTGAGACCCCACGCACGGCGGCGCTGGCGCTGCGTTTTGACAAGCCCATCAAGCAGGCCTTCTACAACACGGGGGCCGTGCTGTTCGTGTGCCTGTGCTGCGGCGCGGCGGTGCTCGTGTACTTCATCCTCGAGGCCTTCCTGCGGCCCCTGCTCTGGGCGGTGCTGTGCGGCACCTTCCTGCACCCCTTCAAGAGCTCGCTGACGCGCCTGGGCCGCCACTGGCTGCAGCGCCTGCACCGCGCGCACACGCCCATCGTGCTGGCCGCGCTGCTGCTGCCGCTCTGCTTCGCCGACTACGGCGTGGAGGCCCTGGGCGAGCAGGTGCTGCGCCGCCGCCGCCTGCTGCTGCTGCTGGGCGCGGGCGGCCCGCTGCTCTACGGCCTCTACTGCCTCGGCAGCTACCTGGGCGTGCAGGTGCTGCTGGCGCACGCGGGCGCGCTCATCTGCCGGGGGCTGGACTATTTCAGCAGCCTGTGGGTAAGTGAGCGAGTGAACGAGAGGCGATTCGGTCTCCCCGATGGGTACGCCCTGCCCCTCCCCGGCACCCCAAGACCTCTGGGGGCAAGTCCGCATCTGGACTGCTGTGAGAGCCCACGTTCGCCTGCCTTCCCAACAACAGAGGAACTTCCTGTTCTTACTGAGAGAGGCAGTGTGATTTGAAGCAGCCCTGCTTGTCCTTAGGGTGGACCTGTTCCCTGGTTGAGAAGTGGGGTTCCATTCTGTCGGGGAGAGAGGTCTTAGGTTTACACCTCTGGTTGGAAAGTTAAATGGGTGCCCCGGCTACCCACATCTGGGCGGCGGAGTTGGAAGGAATCCTGGTGATTCCAGACCTACTTTGCCTAACTACTGATAAGAGAGGTGACTCCTTACCCCAGGGCAAAGGTTAATTAGGGACCAAAGAAACTGATTACCTTAGATTTTTTTTTTTTTTCCTTTGCAGGCTGAGGCTGCCTCTCAGTGCAGGTCTTTTTTTAGTTTGTGCAGGGCACTGGGTGCTGAGCGGGCCTTTCCTTCAGCACACCCCATTCTTTACCATTCCCTAGGACCTACCCTTCCTCCTCTTCTCTCCCTCCCCCCCCCCCATGGGTTACCAAGGCAGATTGGGTGAAAAAGAGGTAAATCTCTGTGTGATGTTGGGGTTCCTCTTGTTTCTTCTTATAAACTTAGGGAGCTTTAGTTTTGAAAGGAATTTCAAAGATAACTGAGTAACACATTACCTGGCTCACTCTCTATCCAGTTTATCCACATATTTACAGTGGATGGCTAAAAGCAAGTGGATACTTAATGCTTAAGAATGTTAAGAATGTTGATTAAGAAACTATACTACGAGCGAGGACTGGGGATGTAGCTCAGTGACAAAATGTGCCTAGCATGCATGAAGCCCTAGGTTCAGTGCCCAACACCACACACCAAAAAGTGCTGTCTAAAATTAGTTTATTAACCTCTTTTGTCAGTGAGCTGTTCAATGTATCTCAACATCTACTAAAGGTTGTTGGTGGATTGATAATTGATTCCAGAACTCCTGTGGTCTCCTGCTCAATCAATAACCACCTTTCAGTTTAAGTTAAAAGTTGATTGTTTTGTTAGGTAATGAGCTTTGCGAGATACTTAAAAAGGGGCTGAAAGCTGGGTGCTGGTGGCTCACACCTGTAAATTCTAGCTACTCATGAGGCTGAGATCTGAGGATCATGGTTTGAAGCCAGCTGGGTCAGGAAAGTCCATGAGACTTAAAAAAAAATCTTTATTTTCTTGTTAAGATGCTGTACAGAGGGGTTACAGTTACCTGAATAAGGTAATGAGTACATTTCTTGTCGAGCATTCTTACCCCCTCCTTTTTCTTTCTTTTTTTTCTTTTTTTTTTGGGGGGGATCCGCTCGTGGGGCCTGAACTCTGGGCCTGGGTGCTGTCCCTCAACTCTTCAGCTCAAGGCTAGCACTCTACCACTTGAGCCACAGCGCCACTTCCGGCTTTTTTCTTTTTTCTTATGTGGTGCTGAGGAATTGGACCCAGGGCCTCATGCATGCAAGGCAAGCGCTCTACCACTGAGCCACCTTCCCCCCTCCTTTGTTTTTCTACTATCTCTTCCCTCTTCCACCTCCCTCCACTCCCCCCAATGGTGTAAAGTTGATTTCCAACATAGTGTCTTGTGTCATTGTTGCAGTCATCCTGTGTCCTTTTTTAAGCATTTTGTTATTCCCGTTCCCCTCGCCAAATTGGATAAATGTATATACAAGATTCAGGGTACCAAGATCAAATACAGTGACAACAGGGATATACCATAGGAGGAAGAAAATACATAAGAAACAAACAAAAATCACATAATACATTAATGATAACAACAACAAAGAAAAACCTCATGTCCCTATCTTGGGGTTCATTTCCCTTAGCATCATCTTATATGGTCATACATACATAGATTTTGAGCTTTTCTGCTCATCTGATAAGATTATCCGAGACATATACTAATTATTGCAAATAAGTGAAACCACGGGACCTATATTCCTTTGGGTTTGGCTTACTTAATATAATTTTTTCCAAGTCTGAAGAAGTAAAAATGGTTTATAGACCCATGAAGAAATGCTCAACCTCTCTAGCCATAAAAGAAATGCAAATCAAAACAACATTGAGATTCTACCTCAACCCAGTTAGAATGGCTATATTCGAGAAATTTAATTACAGCAGATGCTGGAGTGGATGTGGCCAAAAGGAACTACTGCACTGTTGGTGGGAGTGTAAACTTGTTCAACCACTCTGGAAAAGTATGGAGGTTCTTCCAAAGACTACACTTAGAGCTCCTCTATGACCCAGCAATCCCATTTCTGGGCATTTACCCAAATGATCACACTAAAGCTACCAGCACAACTATGTTTAAAGAAGCCTTATTCACTATAGCTAAGATATGGAACCAACCTGATGCCCCTCAGTAGATGAATGGATCAAGAAAATGTGACATATATCTCTATCAGTCTGTCTGTCTATCTATTGTCTATCTATCTGTCTATCTATCATGGAATTCTATTCCTCCATCAGAAAGAATGACACCTCCCCATTTGTTTAGGAAATGGAAAGACCTCCATGAGGCTCTTATCACCAATAAATCACAGAGAAAGCCGGAAATGGAGCTGTGGCTCAAATGGTAGTGCTAGCCTTGAGCAAAAGACACTCAGGGGTAACTGCAAGCCCTGAGTTCAAGCCCCAGGACTAGCGAAAAAAAAAAAAGTGGGGGCCAAGAAGAGAGATGCAATATCTATCTTCAGGGTCTATATAACCATAAGTGACTTGTTTTGGGTGCTGGGCATTGAACCCAGAGCTGTGTGCTAAGCCTGTGCTTCAATGTGGATTTATGCCCCCAACCTGAGACATGAGCGTATTCTAGTGGAGCTGATGGTCACGTAGGTAATGTTCATTACTCACCACTTAGCCCTCTGGGCTCTGTGAATGTGACCGCCTTAGAGTCCCATGGCTGTGGTTCACTCTTTTTTTAAAAAAAAAATCTGTGAAGAGATCAAGCCTAAGGGCTTCCTGGCTGTTGGGCAAGTGCTGTAGAACCACTGAGCCATTCCTCCTGCCTTACAGTTCATTTTAATGGAGCCTACTTCACCTACTTCAGTGCTCTTTTACCTCATTACACAACTTTTTTTTTTTTTTAAGTTAAATAGAATGAATGCCTCTAGGTAGAAGGCAGATCACCACGCACTGTTAAGAAATGTGGCTTGTGCAAGACTCCCATGGCTGACGCCTGTAATCCTAACTACTCAGAAGGCTGAGATCTGAGGGTCTCTGGTAGAAATCAGCCTGGGCAGGAAACTGTGAGACACCGCCAGATAACCACCAAAAAGCAGGAAGTGGGGCTGCGGCTCAAGTAGTAAGAGTGCCACCCTTGAGAGAAAAAGCTCAAGGACTCTGCACAGGCCTAGGGTTCAAGCCCCACTACAAATAAAAAGCATAGACAAAAGAAAACAGTATGTCTTTCCAATAAAATAAAATGGCACATCCTTCAGAAATTCAGTCTAGTCAAAGTCAAAGACAGATTTGCAGATTCTGCTAAGATTCTGACAGTTGATACTACTCATACTGTAGGAAATTTAAAATGAAAGACCTACCATTAATGAATAGCATGTTTAGCTGCAGTAAGAAGTTGAGTGCATAGTTAAATTGGCCATGCTTAGGTGAGATGAGGGGTTTCTGCTTGTCCCTCACAGATACTCAGAAAGTAAGTGAAGCCGGGCGCTGGTGGCTCACGCCTGTAATCCTAGCTACTCAGGAGGCTGAGATCTGAGGATCACCGTTCAAAGCCAGCCAGCCCGGGCAGGAGAGACTGTGAGACTCCTATCTCCACTAAACCACCAGAAAACCGGAAGTGGCGCTGTAGCTCAAGTGGTAGAGCGCTCGCCTTGAGCTGAAGAGCTGAGGGACAGCGCCCAGGCCCAGAGTTCAAGCCCCACGACCGACAAAAAAAAAAAAAAATGTAAGTGAATATGTGGGGAAAAGTATCTGCAGCTTAATGTATGTAGTGTTGAATATTGAAGATAAACTTTCAGATTTACATTTATGTGCTTAGATTGTGGATGATGAGTGGAAGAGCCAAAATTGATTAGATTGGGGGTTGGATTGAGAAAATCAAGTCAATTAATGAAATTTATTTTTGGTACTGGTGAGAATTGAACCTAGGGCCTTATGCATGCTAACTAAACATGTACTCTACTTCTGAGCTGCATCCCCCAGTGAATGATTTTAGAAAGGCTTGTAACTTCGCCCTTTGCCCACAGTGATGGGGACAAAGGAGAAGAGAAGGGAATTAAAATACAACAAACTATTATAAAAAGAGACAGTATGAATTAGAAGCGAATAGGATAGCCCTAGAAGGACTGAATTTTGAAAGTGTAGTTTGAGAAGCAAGTGTTGAGTTTTGCTGGAGCAGTTGAGTGGGTATGGTGTGCTTAGGAAACTTGGGAGTTTTCAGCCAGACTTGCTGATGAAGACCTGACTTCACTGGGTCTTTTATCTCATCGTCTACAGCATTTAGCTTGTGAACCCAAGCAGGGCTCCCTGGCCACAAAACAATGGTCTTTTAAAATTTATTTTTGTTTGTAGAGACGGGATCTCAAGCCTCAACTGCGTGATTCTCCTATATTAACCACCTGAGCGCTTAGATTATAAGTATATGCCTCTATGGTGTGTTAAACTTTCTAGATAACTTGTAAATGTGATCCTGCTGCTGAAGTGCCTTGTAGAGGAGAAATGAAGAGGGAAAAGTTACATTTAATTAAACTAGCAGTTTGGTGAAGGGACAATTCATTTAAAACCTAAATTTTGAACATGTGCTAGGCACTGGACAAGGTACCAACACAGATGCACTTTTATTTTCACAGCAGTCTTTTGGAGTAAGAAGAAGGGATTTCCTATCTGAGAAAACTAATTTAGTGACCTGTTCATGCTGTTGCTAAGTAGTATTCACTATCAGCAGGTAAAGTTCT